GTCCTGGTTGGTGGCCCTGTCCTGGTGTTTGACCAGAATGGAGCTCTGGAGCAGGACAAGCTCAATTCAGCCTTCAGGGCCTCTTTTCCTCCAAGGAACTTCTTATTCCCAGGAACGTGGGATTCGGGTGTTTCATTGATAAGTCAGGCTTCTTCTGTACAGACATGGAATGAGGGTATGGACAAGGTGCCACATGGGATCCCAGGATGGTTTGGGTTGGAGGGACCTTAAAGTTCATCCAGCCCCACCCCTGCCATGGGCAGGGACATCTCCCACTAGCCCAGGTTGCTCCAAGCCCTGTCCAACCTGGCCTTGGACACTTCCAGGGATCCAGGGGCAGACACAGATGCTCTGGGCAACCTGTGCCAGGGCCTCCCCACCCTCCCAGCAGCAATTCCTTCCCAATATCCCATCTATCCCTGGCCTCTGGCACTGGGAAGCCATTCCCTGTGTCCTGTCCCTCCATGCCTTGTCCCCAGTCCCTCTCCAGCTCTCCTGGAGCCCCTTTAGGCACTGCAAGGGGCTCTCAGCTCTCCCTGGAGCCTTCTCTTCTCCAGGGGAACCCCCCCAGCTCTCCCAGCCTGGCTCCAGAGCAGAGGGGCTCATAGGACTCAGAATCCATGGAACTCATCCAGCACCTGCAAATCTGTGCCAAAAGGAAGAGCTCAGGCTGGAAAAGGAACATGGAAGAATTCCTTGCTGGAAAGGGTGGTGAGGCCTTGGCAGGGGCTGCCCAGGGAGGTTTGCAGTGCCCATCCCTGGAGGTGTCCCAGGAAGGCCTGGCCGTGGCACTCAGTGCTCTGGGCTGGGGGCCAAGGTGGGGATGGGGCCCAGGGTGGATCCATGGGCTGGGAGGGCTTTTCCAACCTCAGGGATCCTGGGATTGAAAAAACCCAACTGAATCATGGTCAGGAGAAGGGGGACTTTGTCTCCCATGACAGACTTCCAAGCTTCACCTCCTGGTCAGCTGGGAGGGATCAGGCTGAGTGGGAGACATCCCACGGGAGCAGATGATGGACCATTAGCCCAGTTCCCCCTCCATGGCAGTGGCATTACAAGATTAATTGTAATTAATTAAGGAGATTACTTAAGGAGATCACATTTCCTGGCCATTCCAGGTGGTCCATTGCCCTTGTCCCTTCCAGATTCCAATGTCATGGCACTGGCCACATCAGCAGGGCTGTCCCTGCTTGGTCCCGTTGCAGTCTGGGCACGGACCTGCTCTCTGGGAATTCATCCCAGCCCTCTCTGAGTCTGCCAGTGCTGATCGTCTCCATGGCTCCTGTGGCCTCCAGCTCCTGTTGCTGTGGGATTTGGGGGTTCCAGGACCACCCCCACTGCCTTGGTGGGGTTTGTAAACCTTGGCCATGCACCTCCCTGAGCCTTCTCTTCTCCAGACCGGACAGTCATGGAATCACAGAGTCAGTGAGGCTGGAAAAGATCCTTAGCATCATTGAGACCAATTGCCAAGGCCACCACTGACCCATGTCCCCAGGTGCCACATCCACACAGCTTTTCAGTCCCTCCAGGACTGGTGGCTCCCCCCCTGCCCTGGGCAGCTTGTTCCAGTGATTGATATTTCCAGCCTGGCTCTGTAGGGAAGTTGCTCGATCCCCTTGACCATTTTAATTGCCCTTTTCTGGTCCTGCTCCACCTCCACCTCTTCCTCCTGGAGATGCTGAACCAGAGCAGCTCCCAGCACATGCAGAGCCCCCAGTGACACGTCTCACCTCCCTTTCCACCTCTTCCCTGGTAGCTTTTGTTGCCTTTTCTGGCTGCTCCTGTGCACCAAACTCACAATTTCAAGAGCTCAATATCAACTCCAGGACTGTCTGGAGCTGGACCCACCAGGTCCACGTCCAGCATCGTGCTGGTGGCTCCTCCCTGTGCCTGTATCTGTCTCCCTTTCCTCTCAGTTTGGGATCCTCCTGGATCTCCTCAGGGTCGATGCCTCGTCTGGCTGCTCAGTTTTTAATGCCCGGGTTGTGACACATTTCTCTCTGTAATGTTTTGAAGAGCCTTTCTCCACGATTTGACTCGTGATTTATTGTCTCCTTCCAAGCCTAAAGCAAGAGCAGGGCATCCTCATTAGGCCCTGTGTCCAAAAAACTGGAGTTTTTCCTTATTTCTGTGCATTACCGGAATCCTCCTGCCTGGCTCTGCTCAGGGAGCTGGAGTTGATTGTTTTGTTCATTTTCTGCCTCCTCTTTCATGTCAAAGTGCTTTTCTTCCTCCTGTGGGAGATGGAGTTGAGCTCCCAGAGCTGACATTCCGTTCTGGAGGAGGGGGTGGCTGATCTCGGATCACCTGCACTCAGCAGCTGCTCTTCCCTCTCCATCTCCACACACTGGGTCTCTTGTGGCTTCTCCAAGCTGGGATTGAGGCTCCTTCCCACTGGGAAGTGCCCAAGGAGGGTTTGGTGGGAGCTCCCCTCCCTGGGGGTGCAGATCCAGCCCTGGTTCTGGGTGATCTCAGCGCCGGTTTCTCATCCCAGACTGACTCAGCTCTGAGGCAGAGACGGAGCAGGGAATGTTCACACCATCTTCTGAGAGCTCAGCTCGCCTCCCCAGCACACCATTCCCTCCGTTTGGGTCTGGAATTTTGCCAAAAACTTTGCTCCGAGGAGTTGTTTGTGGCTCTGGGGTTCATCCAGGGAACCCCCAGGGTCTGGGGCTGGATCAGGATTTGTGTTTGTCAGAAATTGGGGGGTTTTTTCCCAGACTGGGGAGGCCCCCCTGGAATCCCGGGGGCAGGAGAGACCTGGAGGGGCTGGAGCGTGTGCAGGGAAGGGAAGGGA